CCCCGAGTAGACAACCCAAGCCTCCTGTCTCAGCTAAGTCCTGACAATTCAGCTTGGTCTGGTGGCTGCACAGGTCCTATAGCTCTAAAGAACAGGGTTACCGTGAGGAGGTATGGCCATGGAGAGGGACCTTGCTAAGCTTGTTGTTTCTCAGTGGTATGAGCAAAAGTCACTGGAGTTGCTGGGTGTGTTAATGCTGTTCATCGTCAAATAAAAATAAAGGTACTGGATTCAGACAAAAAAAAAAGTGATTTTTCAAATGCTTTCTTTTAGCCTCTCATTTGCAGTTTTCTCTTCGTTTTGATGAGCTTTGACTTACCAGTAACTTTGGTTTGGTTTGGTGTTAGGTTTTGGTATAGATTGTGCTTTGCCACATTATGTAAGAATTCATGCCTCATTTGGCCATGTAACTATTCACTGTTAGCCTGGCAAGATGGCGTATTCCTGTAATCCCAGCACTCAGGGTAGTAGAGGCAGGCAGATCTGTGTGAGTTTGAGGCCAGCCTAATCTACAGAGCAAGTCCAGGACAGCCAAGGCTACACAGAGAAACCCTGTCACAACAAGTCCAAGACAGCCAAGGCTACACAGAGAAATCTTGTCTTTCTCTCTCTTTCTCATACTCGTGTGCACACACACACACACAAAAAAAACAACACTCTTTTCTTCTAAAATTTTACTGATTGCTTTTACTTTCAAAAGACTATTCACTTCGTTAACAAGCCTCTGTTGTTAGATGCATTTTTACGGTGCCTAGAAAATCTCCTCTACTTCTACAAGCTACTGTTAGTCTTCCCTTCTTTTCTGAGCAGCCTCGCCTTTGTATAAGTCCATCTTCCCTACACTTAACCAATTAACTAGTTTACAGAGCAGTTTCCATTTTCTACCTCCTCATAGAATATCAAGACTCTAACTGTCACCAAGCTCAGGGGGAGGGGACACTCCCTCCTGGCTGCTGTGATACCAGTTCCCTTTACATCCAATAGATCACACAGGAGCTTTAGTCTTCCTGTCTGAACAGCTCAGCTCATGATAAGCATAGCCCTTCAGCTTCTACTTTACATCCACAAACCTCATGGTATAGTGTGTATATGTATGTATATGTTACATGTACATGCACAGGAATGCATGACCATCACTCTCCACCTATTTTTGAAACAAAGACTCTCACTTCACCTGGAATTCACTGATCTGTGCCTGCCTGCATTCCTGCATGCATGCGTGGGTAAAGCCATTGCTGGGAAATAAGAATTTTGTAGCTGGTTTCATTATTTTTTTCTTTAAGGAGGCCTATGTAAATTATAAGCCCATAACATCAAGGCCTATGTCCAATGTAGTTTTATTTTTCTTGCTGTTCTTGGCAGAGTGCTGAGTAGCAAGTAAGCACTCAATAAATATTCTTTATTGTATCTATATAATAAAGACCGAGTGCTATATATTAGATTTAATGGTGTCAGTGGATTTGTACCCCACTGTTTGTCCAAATCATAATGAATAGGCACTTCATGCTGGTTATCCTCCCTCCCTCTCTTTGTCCTCCAGTAAGCTCAGCATGAGAAGTCTGGTCTTGCTCTGTAGTAGCTGATGTTTCACACACACAAAAGTAGTTAGTAAACATTAGTGCTTTTCTTTTCAATCAAACTAGAAAGTATATTCTATACAATGCCCTCTCTGTTTTAGGAATTTAAAATCAGCCTTTAATCTTCAAAACCTTTTCCAGTGTGAGGCTGACCATGCTCTTAACCTCTGAGCCATCTCTCCAGCCCTGTAAAGTTTTCTTGAAAAGGAAGAAGAGGGCTGGAGAGACGGTTCTGTGGTTAAGAGCACTGTCTACTCTTCCAAAGGACTCTGGTTTAATTCCCAGCACCGACATGGCAGCTCATAACTGTCTGTAACTCCAGTTCCACAGATTCTGACACCTTCATACAAATGCACAAAATGAATAAAGTTAAATAAATTATTTTAAAAAAAAGAAAAGGAAGAAGAGTGGGAATCTGTCCACTTTCCCCCACCCCCAGAGAAATCCATTTCTTAATTGTTATAAAGCTATAAAGCTTTAATGCATTTTGTTATGTGTCCCAATATACACAGAAGTTGGCATTTTAACCATTTTTAATTGTGTAATTAAAGTCGTTTTAAGTGCATTCCCATTTGGGCAACCATCGCCACTATCTCCAGAACTTTGTTCACCTTCCCAAATTGGAACTCTTTACCAATTAAACAGAAACTCCCAATTCCTTGTGGCAGTCGCCATCCTGCATTCTGTCTATAAGTTTAACTAACCCAAGTATCTCATATAAATGTGATTAAACAAAAAAATCCTTCCCCCAAGCCCTTTGTTGTTGTTGCTTTGGTTTTCAAAACAAGGTCTCACCATGTATTTCAGGCAAACATCAAACTCAAAAAAAAAAAAAACAAAACAAAACAAAAAAAAACTCCTTCCTCAGCCTGCAGAGTATAGGGACTACAGATATGCACCACTGTGGCCTGGAGAAAGAGGGTGAGGCAGACATGGTTTCTTTGTTAACTGGCTTACCCCTCAATGGACATTTGCATTTCTTTCATCCTCACTGTTCTTTTGGTGGAAGAAGGAAGATGATGTCAATGTCTATCTAATGCAGATACAGTGATACTATAGAACCTGTGCTTCTAATCTAATGATACACTCATCTACAAGGTGGATGCAAAGCAAATGCTTACATCACCCAGAACACTAAGTAGGGGTAAGCCCCAACTCTGGTCAAGAAAATGTCCTGAAATTAGGGTCTGCAAAAATTATGCCACTTGATGCATAAAGATAGGTGAGCATTTGACTGAACAACTGAATACAAGTACACTTTTGTTCATAGTGCTCCAAAGCTGGAGGTCACCCCTTTTTGTAACAGGTAAGAGTTTGTGAGGGCCAGAGAGATGGCTCAGCGAGTAAAAGCACTTATTGCCTGGTGACCTGAGTTTGATCCCAGGAATCCATACAAAGGTAGAAGAAAACTGATTCCATAGGTTGTCCTCTGGCCTCCATACACGCCCTCAAACACATACTCACTCTAATAAATTACATAGGGAGTCTTTTAAGAAGAATAACAAATGTGATATAGTTAAATGATATAATACTTTATACAATAAGAATAAACTATAGATAAATATCATGGAACAAACCTTAAGGAGAAGCCATATATAGCAAAATGCATACTATTTAATTCTGCTACTTAATACTACTTAATACTCTAACGGAAACTGTTTCTGTTTAAGGCACTGGCACTGTTTTTGTTGTTGTTTGTTTGTTTGTTTGTTTTGTTTCTGTTTTAATAAAAAGGAATCCCCTAAGAATCCATGTAGTGATTTTTACTGGAAATATGGGTGGTAGAAACTCATGACTAGAAAATGGCATACAGTTTTTTGAAACAGGGTTTCTTTGTGTAGCTTTGGCTATCCTGGTCTCACTTTGTAGACCAAGCTAGCTTCGAACTCACAGATTTTCCTGCCTCTGCCTTCCTAGTTCTGGGATTACAGACATGTACCCCAGCATGGCTAATAACAGCTTCTTAATTTTGGATGTTTGTATTTTATGCACCCTTAGAGTCATCATACTGTGTAGTAAAATAGTTTTTAAATTCCTTGATTCTCCAAAAGAAAAATTACAGAAAGTCATGTGACATAATCATACACCCAGAGATCTAGCTCTCTGTTTGATTCAATAAGATTCAGTTCACTGGACTCATTGGAGCACACCTTTAAGAAAAAGAAAGGAAGGAAGAAGGAAAGGAAGGAAGGATGAAAGAAAAAAGAAAGGAGGGAGGGAGGGAGGGAGGAAGGAAGGAAGGAAGGAAGGAAGGAAGGAAGGAAGGAAGGAAGGAAGGAAGGAAGGAAGGACCCAGTTGGCCCACTGTGGAGAGTGCCCAGAAAGAGCTGCAGGTGCTCTCTGTCCTCCTTACTGTGCTCCTGGGTTCTGTGGCTGCTTTTACAACACACAGGACATTCCCTGTGTTCCACTTCTGCTTTGATTGTGGTCACACTGATGTGTGAGAAGTGGGGAGCTCCAGGTGGCCCTGATGCAGATAGCTGCTTTGCTTGAGTTGTCATAGAGAGTGGAGTTAAGATGAGCACAGTTTTGACCAGCTTCTGGAAAGAATTTCTTCATTCAGAGCATGTCATTAGGTTTCCATGGTGCATCATTTGGAGACAGGGTTTCGCTGTTTTACCTCTGGCTTTCCTGGAACTCCTTCTGTAGACCAGACTGGCCTTGAACTCACAGAGATCCACCTGCCTCTGCTGGGACTAAAGTCATGCACCACCACCACCCAGCATCTTCTGGAGCTTTTAAATGGAGATCATGAACAGCTTTCCCTGTCAGTGCTGGGCTTTCAATAAGTATTGAACCCATTCCTCATCTGTCCCTGCCTTTGGTGATTCTGTGAGCAGACTGTTACATGGAAATTCTGACTCAGATTTTACTTCTTAAGATGTCTTACAGGTAAAGTGGCCACAACCCACTTAGGAAGTGTAATAGACATTGTGGCTACTTGGAAAACACGGTTAAACATTTTCATCAAGGGTGCCTGGCCATCATTGCAAGCAGCTTTATGTCAGATTCTACAGTTAGCCAGTTCACTGTCCTTAGGGAATACTCTAGAGCAGGGGTTCTCAGTCTATGGGATCAGGGGTTCTCGGCCTGATGGGATGGAACCACCTTTTCACAGGGGTCACCTAAGACCATCAAGGAGCAGATATTTACATTACAATTCATAAAAGTAGCAAAGTTACAGTGATGAGTTAGCAATGAAAATAATCTTAAGGCTGCGGGTCACCACAACATGAACTGTATCAAAGGGTCACAGCATTAAGAAGGTTGAGGACCACTGCTCTAGAGTTTTGTCCTGTGCTGTTCGCAGTTGCCGTCCCTTGACCAGTTGGTTCAGCATCTGTAAGATCTGCTGGGTTTCCACGCTGGCTTTGCTCTATTTGCTACAGGCTCTCCTTCATCTTGCTGTTGCTCCTCTTTCAGGGCCTGACTTTCCAGGAGGTAGAGAACTTCTTCACTTTCCTGAAGAACATTAATGATGTGGACACTGCATTGAGCTTTTACCACATGGCTGGAGCATCTCTCGATAAAGGTAATGAACCTGAAAGTTTCCTTAAAAGCTATAAACATTAATCTGTATCTCCTAGGTGAATGCTTCACCCTAAAAATCAGATGTACTTGGCATTGTCCTTTGTTGTTGATTAATAATGTTTAATATTGATTTATCTTTTAGTTAAACAGTGGTTATTCCTAAACCAGCTGAATACCCAAATCACCACACAAAGACTAGGATTTATATATACCCAAATCACCTCACAAAGACTAGGATTTATTAAATTAACACACAATGCTGGGCAATAGTTACTCCCTCTCCTAAACCTCCAAGCCCGCATTGTTTTCTTGCAGTCAGATTTGCCACATTATACTTGCTTTTAGTCATATCTTTGGTCCAGGTCATCACTCTTGATGGTTCCAAGTCCTATCCTCTCCCTATCTCTCCTCTCCGACTCCTCCCACTCACTTCTTTCTCCTCCCCTCAGGACCAGGACGTCCCACCCTATTCTCTCCATTGTTCAGCATTGGCTGGTTGTTGTATTGACAATACAGAGAACAAATGGTGGCATGTTTACACAAACTTGAGACAGGTGATGCTTAGAATAAACATCACAATGCAGTGTCCGGATTGAAACTAGATAGTGGGGTAGAGAAGTCAGCATTTGAATGAACAAGCGTAAATTGTATACATTCCACAAGAACATTATACCAACAGTCCTTTGGTTTGTTTTTGTTTGTTTGTTTTGTTTCAAGTTGTGATTTCTCTGTGTAGCCCCTGACTATCATGAACTCACTCTGTAGACCAGGCTGGCCTTGAACAGAGATCTGCTTGCCTCTGCATCACAAGTGCTACGACTGAAGGTGTGTGTGCCACCAGCTGGTGGTTTGTTCTCTTGTATTGGCCTTAAATGAGTCTTGTACTTCACCCAGAGATGCCAAGCTCAGCACATGCATTTGACTATGCTGCAGACAGGGCAGGCTGTCACTGTGATTAGCCTGGAAGCAGACATATAACAAGGTAGAGCTTCAGAACCTCACTCCTTTAAGCCAGAGTCACTTGGTGGTTATGGTCTTTGATGGAGTGAGCTGGTTAGTATCTTTGCTTTCAACAGTTTATATATATATATATATATATATATATATATATATATATATATTTTTTTTTTTTTTTTTTTTTTTTAAGAATTGAGAAGGAGCTGGATGTGGTGGTGCATGCCTTTAATTCCAGCACTCAGGAGGCAGAGGCAGGGGTATCTCTGTGACTTCGAGGCCAGCCTGGTCTACAAAGAGAGTTCTAAGACAGCCAGGCTATACAGAGAAACCCTGTCTCAAAAAAAAGAAAAGAAAAGAAAAAAGAAAGAGAGAAAGAAAATAAAGTCTGCCCACATATTTGTCATGTTAGGTGCTTCTCATCTACTTTTGAATATCCAGATACTCATCTGGGCTCAGGAAGTTCTTTTATCACTGTTCGTAGTATGATAAACTCTCTTTACATTTAGACTGAACATAAGCTGCTGGGTGCTGCTCAAAGTACCAGCTGCAGTTTTAGAAACAGTCTTGCTTATTCAGCACTTTTCAGTAGATTCCTTCACATTTTATATATATATTTATATATATTTTATTATATATATTTTTATTTTATATATATTATATATAATTTTATATATATTATATATAATTATATATATATAATATATATAAACAAACTAATGAAACTCATAGAAATAAAGTAGAATGGTGGTTGCTATAGGGCCAAGGAGAGGGGTAAATAGAATGAGAGGTCAAAGGGTTATGGTGACTGTAGTCGCAAATACTGTGTCCTGTGCTTGGATTTGCTAAGAGAGATGCTAGATCTCACACACACAACTATGTAAAGAGATAGAAATGTTGACTTGGAAGGTGAGCATGGTGGCCCACACCTGTAGTACGCTGAGGCAGAGGATCATGAATTCAAGACTAGCCTGAGCTACATAGCAAGCCCCTGTATAAAAAAGAATAAACACTAACTAGCCTAATTGTAGTAATACTTCATGTTGTATTATGTATCAGAACATGGTGTTGAACCCCTTAAATATACAATTCTTTGTCAGCTGTATGTCAGTAAAGTTAGAAAAACAAAAGGAGTTCACTTACTTACAGCCAGAACTCATTTTACTTTTCCATTTCTGATTTGGATGCCTTTTATTTTAATCTATCCATAGAGCTTTTAAGATAGCATTTGTTTGCTTACAATGATGCCTCCTCTCATCTTTATAGACTCTTTTTGGGGAAACATGATGTGGCTGTCAAGGGGAGGTATTACTAAGCCCTTATTCCAGAATAGCTTTGGATGTGTTGCCATCTCATAAGGCAGGAGTAGATAGCATGTGCAAACCTAAAAGCATAAGATTTAAAGTCAGAAGCTGCAAAAATAGAATTAATAAGTGCCTCTAGGTTTTTCCCCCTCAACTAAAGCCAACAGAAACACTTAAAGAAAACTATACAGAAGAATCACTGTCTCTATTTTTAATTATAGGGTGTACAAAATAGAATGATTCGGGGTAGTGATAACGAAGAGAAATGCAACCTAGTGATTAAAAGGTGGCGGGGGAGTTTCTTTCAAATGACTTTGGGCCATTTCCTGAGTAAGATGACTAGGGGCCATGCCGACATGGAGAATACACTTAGTTTTCAGGCCTGTGGTGCTGTGCCATTGACTTCTTGGTTTGCTTTATATGTTGTACACTGGATCCCTTGAGCATCTATGAATGATATCAAAGGGATAAGACCTTAGCTTCATGCTAAGTACCAGAATGAACCACCTGCATTTATTTCCTAGGACTGCTATTTAAAAAAAAAAAAATGTCACTAGATGGGCAGTGGTGGTCCATTCTTTTAACCCCAGCACTCAGGAGGTGGAGACAGGCAGCTCTCTGAGCCTGGTCTACAGAGAGAGTTCCAGGACAGCCAGAGCTACCCAGGGAAATTGGTCAGGGTGGGGATTGCCACAAACTTGATTTAAAGCAACAGAGGTTTGTTCTCTCACCGTTGAGTGTTAAAGTCGTGAAATTAAGCTGTCAACAGGGCCATGCTCCCTCCAAGGGCTCTACAGGAGTATCCTTCCTAGGGTCTGGTGGCTATAGGTGCTTCTCAGCCTCTGGAAGCATCGCTTCCATCTCTGTCCTGTCTCTATGTGGCCTTCCCCACTGAATCCCTAAATGTATCTTTTCCTCCTTGGTCTTATGAGGTCATAGAGCCCAGCTGATAATCCAGGATGTTATCTCAGTGTCCTCCATTTCAACTTCGAAGACTGTACCCATCCTCAGCTTGCCCCACACACATCACACCATCAAATTGTCCATTGTAGCATCTCTCACTGAGTTTATGTGTGAGTTTACACATTGCTATGCTGACTATCTGCCACCCCAGCTAAATTATTGTCTTTCTTTTGTATTCTCTATCTCTAGAGCAAGAAGTCAACATAAATTACAGGCTTTTCCTACTCTATCCACAGAACTGTGTAAATTTTAGTACTGAGATGAACCCCACAAAAAAAAAAAAAAAAAAAAAAAGATGATGGGGGTTTAAGAACATACCTCTAGCCAGGCAGTGGTGGCACATGCCTTTAATCCCAGCACTCAGGGAGGCAGATCTCTGTGAGTTTGAGGCCAGCCTGGTCTACAAAGTGAATCCAGGGCAGACAGGGCTACACATAGAAACCCTGTTTCAAAAAAAAAAAAAAAAAAATGCACACACACACCTCTAGGCTGGGGATGTCTTGCATGTGATGCATGAAGCCCTGAGTTTGGTCCCCAGAACAACATGATAGGCCATGAATGACATCCCAGCATTTGGGAGTACAGGTAGGATCAGAATTTCAAGGTCAACCTTGACTACATAATTAGTTTGAAGACAACCTAGGCTGAAGGAGACCCTAGCTCCCAAGAACACAGGCACTGATATCATTCTGCCTGAGTTTGTGTTGGGTACTGACATTTACTAGCTGGGTAACATTGGGCTTTTCCTATGTGTTGAAAGTAAAGATAAAGGTACGTAACTCATAGGGTGTCATAGGACATATCTACAGAAAACACTGTCACCTTGTGTGGTTACTGAAGGTCATGTCTGAAGTTGATAACATGAACACAGTTTGATGCTGCTCATTTACTTATTCTGCCAGCAGCACAGACACTGGGCTAGGCATGGAGGTTCCAGCCTCAAGAAGCTCACAGGAATTGGGGCAAGATAATGCTAATGAGCATAAGATGTGGAGCTATAAGATGTGCTGTCGGGGAAGGCAGGGTCGAAGGTGAGCTCTCTGCCAAGCCTTTTCTCATTCCTACTTGCTCTTCATCTCAGCTGTCATCTTCTTTTTCTAGAAAGGTCAAGACCTTCAGAAAATGGCATCTTTCCAACGCACTGGCATCATTTCTTCCTGGCCTAGTTTAGAGTTCACAAGCCAACCCTGAAACATAATTGAGTGAAGTTTCCCAAGCAGCGCTGGGATTGATGTGGTAATGAATCCTCCCTAGGTTTGCACAGAAAAGTGCTCCATTATAAAGAAGTTTGGGAAATGCCAGCATTGCACAGAACTTCTCCCTAAGCACTGCCTGCTGGCTTTTAATATGCTAATGTTTGTTACCAATCCCCAAAGGAGGGTTCAGTTCCCACACTTGATTGGCTCCAGAATACCCTCTACCTCACAGATTAAAGTTCCCCTGAACACTTCCAGAGGTCTAGACAGGCAGCAGGTACAGATGGATGGATGCATCATCAGAGAACATGATCTAGTCGTAATGCTGGAAGTTCCATTGAGGTTATTGTTGTTGTTGTAATTATTATTATTTGTGTAGGCCATGTGGTAACAACTCAGATAAGAACAGGGTGTACCTGGTGAACTCTGGCTTTCTGAACACGAGGTCTCCAGGAAAGACTGGATTTCCTCTGTAGGTCCTCTCTCATTTAGCATCTGGGTACAGCCAACTCTATTGTTCATTCATACACATAAAGTTAAATGCATTGCCTCTGACTGGCTGTCTGAATTATGTAAGTAATCTG